AAGGCTTCTCATGCCCTAATTGTTGACCAATATGAATTATTTGATTGATGTGCATGGTCTTAGCATTTATAACACAAATGATGATTTCTTTCAAAGCTTATGCAAGATTGAACTAACTCACTCTTTAGCAAAGACTCCATATGTCAATTGTATATGAATGAAGTGCATAGTCTATTGCTAATGGATATAGGAGCATATGAATGATGATATGATATGCATGGTCCTATAGAAATGAGCTTCAAATGGATTCATAAATACTTTGACATTGAATCCTAAACACTCACCATCCTATCTACCCCCTTCTTCACGCTTTGTCCATGATCATGTTGGCTTTTAGGTAGACTTGTTTTCTTCTTTTCTTTAAGCTGCTTTCTTGCTCGTTGTAGTCCAAGCTATCTTTGGATGGACTTTGCATTTGCTTCTTTGCAACTTCAGGTCTTTTTTGTATTCATTGATTTCCTTGATGTGATCTTAAATAATGGAATACTTGGAATGATCTTTCATGCTTCATTGAGGTCATCCTTTGAATGTGAATAATCTATAACACTCAATGTAAACATTAGTCCTTAAACACCATTAATGGTTTGTTATCATCAAAACCTTTAGATTGTCCTTGGATGAAGTCATTAAGGTCAACAGTAGTGTCACCATACCGTAGTGTTTTTGACAGAAGGTTGAACATTCCCACCTTATTCACCTCTGCTCTTGCTATTCTTGCGTATGTTTTTCGGGCCGTGGCTGTTTCACCTCCTCCTGCATACCCTCCGAATATGACTCTAATCTCACCTACTGGTTGTTATTCTGGAGGACGATTATCCCGCCTTCCTTGTGCAAAGTTAGTACCTTGTCTATCATCTCCTGCCATAAACCTTCGCAGGTGACCCCTTCGAATCAAATTCTCAATCTGATCTTTTAAGTTGATACAATCCTCCGTAATATGCCCATGATCTCTGTGGAACCTGCAATATTTGTCCCAAGGCCTTCTTGAGGAATCGGATTTTAGCTTCGACGGCCACTTTAGGGGGGGATCATCCTGAATCTGCATTAAAACCTAATCTATAAACATAGTGAGCAGGGTGTACCTGTCTGAGCTCCTATAACGAGATGTCCTCTCACTTTGATTGATTGAAGACTTTTTGAATTTGGTCTCCTTCTCGTCCTTGGCACCAATATATGATCTTTTTTTATCCACCTTCTTATCTTCTCCTTCTTTCCCCTTTCGCGCACTCATCGCATCCTCCGCATTCATGTGTTTCCTAGCTCTAACCAGTAATTCTGCCATATTGGTTGGAGTTTCCTTTGACAAGGAAAAAAGGAATCTAGATGTATGTAATCATCTTATGAAAGCGGTGAGTGTTACCTTGTCATCGGCTTCATCCACCTGCAGCATTTTGGTGTTGAACCGGTTGATATACTCCCGTAATGGTTCTCCCTTCTGCTGCTTCACGGTGAGCAAGTGAGTGGCTGGCCTCCAGTGCCTTTGACCTTTAATGAAATGACTTCAAAATCCCTTGCTCAACTCTGCAAAGGTCTCAATTGAGCCTGGTTTTAATTTATTAAACCACACCCGTGCCGACCCTTTAAGAGAAGTAGGAAAGGCCCGACACATTATCTGGTCTGGTACAGCTTGGAGATGCATAAGTGCTTGGAAAGTCTCGAAATAATCAAGAGGATCACGAGTCCCATCAAAGCTCTCAAGTGTTAGCATCTTAAACTTGCTAGGCAATGGACATTTCATGATAGTCAGGCTAAATGGAAATTTTGTTTTTTGAACAAGGTCGTTTATAGTGGTAGCAGAGTGTTTTCCCTTCAGAGCTTGCATCACATCTTCCATCTTGGCATTGAGGTTCTGGATCGGTAGGTCGATGTGGGTAACCTCCTCAGTCCTTTCACCAACATAGGTCGAGGTCAATGGCCTAGAGCTACGTGGGGGAGATGGGTAACCCGCCTCCCTATATTGATCAGCAATTTGGCTATGCTCTGCAAGAGCCTCCTCATGGGAAGGCTCGTTACCTTGCACCTCATGATTTCCATCCTCAGCAATTAGGCTGAGATGATCTTGAGGTAGGATTTCGTTATGGTGATGACCTTGCCCTAGAGGGGGGCCTAGGGGAACAAAACGTTATAGGATCATCGCATTTTGCCAGATCAGCTCATTCATTCCCTGATTCAGGGTTTGAACTTTCTATTCCAACACTGTGATGCGCTTTAGGTCATTTGGGACGTGAGGGGGTTCCCCCTGCATTTCCTCCTGACAAGAGGCCTGCAACGATGTTCCCTCACAATGCTCCAATCCGGATCGTAAAACCATAATCCTTTTTAATGAGAACTACCTCGGTTCCCACAGACGGCGCCAACTGATGAAGACTAGTCTACAACGATCCAAAAATGACAACGTTTTCTGTTGACACTGGTGTGGTGCCTGCCAAACAACCTCCGATGGCTAAGTCAATTTCCAGAAGAAATAAATTAAGCAATTAATGAAGTTGAGTTCAATATTGCTCGTACCTCATTGGTTGATAGGAGTTTGCTTTTATAGCCAACTGAGCTGCGAGTTTGTTGCAATCTTCAAGGAGAACCTTTGTCGATAATTTGAATTTCATATTTATCAGATCAAAACTACCTTTTGAATTTATGTTACTAACAGCATTTATCACCTCATCACCTTATCCATCTGTTCGACTTCTTTCACAGTTCTTCCTTATCAATGCTTATACATCAAATAAAGAGGATTAACTCACAAAGCTTAAAGAAATGAGCTTTAGAAAACCCCTACTTCAAATAATTAGCAAAAGCCCCAAATTAAGTCCAAAAACCGAAAATCCAAAATCACCAAATCGAAAATCGACTCCGATCAACTCATAACCCTCGTCGAGCTCGTTAACTTTGCCTTCAGTGGAAAAGTCCAAATCTAAGTGGAAGAGGAGAGAGCTAGCCTTGAGTTTGGACGAAGAAAAAAAAATCACAAAGAGAGAGAAATAAATGGCACAGGAATGAAAAGAAAGGAAATGGTCTAGTGATGACTATATGGTCATTATAATGACCATAATCAGCTCAAAAATATTTATTTTGTCACCTTTAAACACACATATGCATATACACATTTTAGAATGCACATTTAACCACATAGCCACACAAACATGCACTAAATAATGATGCATAAAATGCAACGGCCCCAAAAAATAATCCCCGTGCATAACAAAAATCTAGTTACGGGTCCTGCCCGTGACCTCCCAGCCCGAAAAACTGGAAAATGCCAAAATGGCCAATAATACATTTCTAAGAGTCTTGAACTCAAAGAAATGCCTCAACCAACTCTCTGAAGTCACTCAGCACACTCCACGGTGTCCAGCACGCAAAACAGGATGATAAATAAAGGAATTAGAAAAATTTTTAAAAAATCCCTAAAAAATGAAAAATGGGAAATATTACAAAATAACTCCAAGTTCTTCATCTTGATTTTGTGCCTCAATGACTCGACTAACGAGCGTTGATTGAGCCACGAGACTAAACAATGTGGCGAGCTCGCCACTGTCACTAAAATGCAATCCCATTGTTGAGATATCCTCCATCATCTTCCATTCCCGAATAGCATGACAAGCCAAATTGCTATGAGACTTTTTTCTCAATGCATCCGCTACAACATACGCCTTTCCGGGATGATATTGCAATTCAAAATTATAATCATCCATGAACTCTATCCATCACCTTTGTCTCAAATTTAAATCTTTTTGCACGAAAAGATATTTGAGACTCTTATAATTCGAGAAAACTTCAAATTTCTCGTCATACAAGTAATGCCTCCAACTCTTCAAAGTAAAGACAACTGCCGCCAACTCTAAATCGTGAGTGGGGTAGTTAAGCTCATGAATCTTCAACTGTTTAGACCCATAAGCAACAACTCTCCCATTCTACATCAAGACATAACCCAATCCATCAAGGGAAACGTCACAAAAAATGACATAACCCAAGCCACGCTCAGGTATGATCAAAATTGGTGCTATGGTCAACCTCATCTTCAACTCTTGAAAAGTGGATTCATACGCTTCATTCTACACAAACTTCACACCCTTGCAAGTAAGCCTCTTCATAGGGGCAGCTGTAATGTTTCTGATTTTTCCTATTTTCTATTTTTGGACATTTTTTTATTTTTCGGGATTTTTCTTTTTTGTACCTCGTTTTGCATGCCGGACATCGTGGGGTTTGACGGGCGAGTCTCGAGAGTTGGTTGGGGCATTTCTTCGAATTCGGGACTCTTAAAAATACATTGTTGGCAACCGGTATTGTTATGTACGAGAATTATTTTTGAGGCCGTTACTCTTCATATATTATTATTTGATGCATATTTACGTGACTATGTGTTTAAACATGTGTTGTGTGTGTAGTATACGTACATGTGTATATATTTATATAAAGATTAAAATAAGATATTTTCTTTTTTGTGTGAGCCCTACGGGATACAAACTTATTACATACATCCTTGGCTTAGCTTATTTTCTTTTGCAAAATCTCTCTCTCTCTCTCTCTCTCTCAACTCTCTCTCCTATCCTCATTTTCTTTTCATTTTTTTTTTTAGCTTCAATAATTCCCTTTCTGGCCAATCGGTCGGGTTTCCGACCTCGATTCCTTAACAGAAAGTGTTCCTCTCATCGTCTATCATATAATCAAATGATTTAATTTTTGGATGATCGATGATTCTTTTACAAATTTTTTAAAATTTTAAATCTAAGGCTTCGTAGGGAGTTTAGGGCCACTTCGAGTCGGATTCCGGAGCTGCATCTTTGGAGCAGTTTACTCTCCTCGTCGTCGGCTACGTTTTCACCGAATAGTTTTCCGTTCAACCGCCTTTGACCGGCATTGACTTTCTGGTGTAAATGTGCACCCAAAAAAAATCTATATATTCATAACTGTACATACTTAAATAAAGTTCTCATGACAAAACCATAACTCAACCCATACATGATCAATAAAAATGTCCAGGACTCTATACACACACAGCGAGAGAGTTAAACTGCATGACAAAAAATTTTCATTTGCTTTAATAATTGACATTCATGCATGGTACCAATTACTCTACATTACATCCCGACTCCATAACAAAATTCGTGGAGTGAATAAAGAAACAATTACAACCAGTGAAAATCTGAGTGACCTAAAGTTCTGCGTCAATTCCATCATCGTCACTGCTGTCCATCTGAAGGTAACCGCTGTAAATGAATACAAATTGTTAGTTTTGAATAAAGTATAAATCATAGTATGTCTATCTTCCCCAACAATTCTAAATGGACTAGCCCAGTGCACGATGCTTTTGCTATTGAGGTGTCTCGGAAGGGTCAAATATACATAAACTTGCTCTTCGCATGAGAAGCTACTTTCCGTTTCAAATCCGTGACCTCCAAGTCACAATGGAGCAACTTAACAGTTGCGCCAAAGCACATCCTGTCATAGTTTCTTAGTATTCATGTAAGGAGTGTCTCATAGACAATCGAGATCTATATAATGTTCTGGCTAGCAAATAGAGGCGGTACCTAATTTATATAGTGCACTGTTTAGTACATGGAAGGAAAAATGAAAGGTAAGGAAGGCTAGAAGAGGTATCCTAAAAATGAAGCATCTCTCTTATTTTTCTTTGACCGAGCAGGAAGAAAAGTTGAGGATGCTACATGAATGTTACCATTATACCCTAACATTTAATAAAAGAGAATTATTTGAAGTCAAAAAAAAATTGTAAAAAAGTTAGGGCACTGTTTATCTCTTCCCCTCAAACTTTTGGAATGAATATCGTGGTGAGGAGAGAGAAGCCTTGTCCTTGTGTCTTCTTTTTCCTTTCCTCCTACTTCCCTCCACTAAACAATGCAGGGCAACAAATCCCTCCCCTTTCATTCCCCCCTTCACCTCTTCTCTTGTCAAACCAATCATTACATATTAATGGGTCAGTATTTCAACAAACAATATTTATTAATCTATTTCTTTATGGTATCAGAAACTGCCCCTTCCATGGGCAAGAATGGTAATCCCAAGTAGCATTATAGAGCATTCCACTAATCACAGCAATGCCAGCTAAAATATCATAACTGTAGCAAACATGCGCTCTTGATACGAGTATGCTTTTGCTTCTACTGGTATTTCATGTATGTTACATGCTGATCTGGATTCAAACTTACCTTGTCTGGCCGCAATTTTTGCTGAGGTCTTGACAGAGAACCTTCCTTACTTCCCCAACTTTAACAGATCCTTTCTTTATCAATTCCGCTAACTGGATTGAAAAAATGACAGGAAATGTAAGATAATTAACCTTGTAGGAACATAACTCGCCTTTAAACATACCAAAAAACAATTAGAAAATGCCAACTTACCTCGTCTTCAGTTTCCTCAAGCAACCTGTTCCATAAAAAACACACCAATTAGAATCCGCAGCATCCAATAGAAACCAGAAATATAGGACAATAAATAATTACATGAGCCACAGCCAATAACTGAGGAATTTCAGAGATGACCTCTAAAACCAGACAATATCTTTCATGACTCACCTTCCACAATAACTCGATATATCTTTTGAATATGCTCGAGCTTCTTGTTTATCTATTATAACACGAAAGCACACAAATTTGTTAAAAGAAGACTCTGATTTAAGATGCAGAACCCTCAACACAAAAATTAAAAAATAAGTCACAAAGATTGTAGCAACAAGAAGCTTGCCATTAAAAGATCATACCCTTCAAGAACTTATAAAAAATGCACTGAGTGAGATGAAAACGAGAGAGCACTTTAAGATCATGTGAAACTCCAATTCAGGATTACAAGTATTTAAGGAACGATATTGTGCTTTGACTAAAAAATTGTGTAATAAGACTGTATATTTGGCGCGTTATAAATTGATGACATACTATAAAACATTGAGATGTAGTGATTGGACAATGAGTAGAACTTATAATAACAAAATTAGAAAATTAACTAGGAGTCCATCAGATAGGTCACTAGTTAAAGCAAAGGCGTGGAGATAAAGGAAAGGTATTTAGAGAAGCCTAGCTCTCATGATAGTGTTAGCCTGTCTAGAACTTTGTGTGTGAGTTTGGTGGATCAGTCTATGTCAAAGAGGTACTAGGGGTATGTGAACTTTAACCTTGATTAATATCCCTTTTTGATAGTGTATTTTTTTTTCTGGACTAGACTAGGTCTCTTTGTTTTTCACATTTGGATTTTCACATAAACTTGGTGTCCATTGCTAATACTTTATTCTGCTTTAATTAATTTTGATTGAATGGTTTGTTATGACCAGGATGACGGATAATTAAAGTTTGAATTTTTTTGGTTGGTGAGTTAAAAATCAAAAAGTTAGTAAAATTAGTTAAAGCTACCCACAAGACCTATTAATCCCCCTCTATTTCTAGATCACACACCTTGCCTTAACTCTCTATTAGAGCCTAGGATTTTGGTCTTTACCCCATCAGCTGAGAATGATTCTTGAAAGATTTGTGCCGTGTTCTTCGCAGATCTTTATCTCCATGTCCATCATCACCAGTGATTGTAGATTGACTCATGACACTGAGATACACATTACAATCCAAGTTTTGAGTAGGAAATTGCCATCGCGTGACTCATAATCCTAACAGCTTCTATTTCTTACAAGCATGGGTCGCAAGCTTTTAAGCTATCTAGGGTAGGGATAATCTCATCCAGGTCATGTTGTGAAAGAAAAGGCATATGTCATAACATTAGACTTTTAGTTTATCAATATTTCTCCTTAGAGGCACAATAACTAGTTCTTGTTACACTTAATCAACCATAATTGATTCTCATTATAGATACAATCAATGGTCCAACTGGCACTACCTCCAACTTGCAACGCATACATTTCTAATTTTGTTACTCGCCCATCTCCACAACCCATAGCGGCCAAGAACATTCAAAATACATGGTTTTAAAAAGCCTGACATTCTATACAATAAAGTATGGATAGTATGGATAATTTTGTAACGATCTTGTGAACCCATATCATTTTGCACATCCTACCCAAATCCTATGAATAACAGAGCCTAACTGATCCTATATCATTATCTCTTGATCATCAATTATTATATTTCCTCATTTATTTATGATTTTAATGATGTAACAATCATGTTCAATCTTTTGCCAACCAACCTCTCAAATCGTTTTGATCTTAAAAGCATATTTGATTACAACATATTTCCATTAAACACAACTCCCATAATCATATACACATATAGAAGAAATATAAAAAAGAAGAAACTGAGAGAATTGTGTAAAGGCTTGAATGAGATGTATCACTCATTCACAACTCTAATATTTATAGATAAAAAGAGCATATGGTCATATTACAAGAAAGGAAATTAAATCAAATCGAAGTCAAATCACAACATATTATATGCCATGATTCGTGACTATCAAATCTCCCTTAATATGGTAAGTCATTCCATAAATCCTGACTATCATATCTGCTAACACTCCCCCTCAAGTTTGTACATGGATATCTAAAACACCCAACTTGAACAATGCATCCTCAAACACAATCTTGCCGAGGCCCATTGTAAGAATGTTTGCAAGCTGAGGAGTGCAAAATCAAAAATGTCTCCTTAGACCATAAACAACCAACAATGTCCTCAAACCATTTCCCTTCATACACATGTTTAAAATATGTAGATAGAAGAATCAACAATTTCTCCTCAAACCATTTCCCTTCATACATATGTTTAAACAATGTAGATGAAAGAATCAACAATGTCTTCTCAGACCATAAAAAAAAAAATAAAATAAAAAACCACGTTTCAGACCATTTCCGAATGGATGGTTTCGAACTTACAATGCCCTCATTGAGGTCGGATAGCCCTGCCTACTCGACATCTCCCGGATGGGGGATGTCTCTTTAGACCATTCTCGAATGGGTGGTGCCGAACTTGCAATGCCCTCATTGCAGTCAAACCACCCTAACTCTGATACCAAGAAGAAATATAATATAGAAGAAAGAGAAGAGAAATATGTAAAAGGTTGAATGAGATGTATCACTCATTCATAACTCTTAGTATCTATGGATAAAAAGAGCATATGGTCATATTACAAGAAAGGAAATTAAATCAAATCTAAATCAAATCACAGCATATTCTATGGCATATTATATGCCATGATTCGTGACTATCAAATCTCTCCTAATATGGTAAGTAATTCCATAAATCGTGACCATCATATCTGCTAACACATATATATAAACCTCTAAACTTACTCCGGTATTTATTTATAGCCAATTCATCCATAATAATGGAAAAAACAAAGGCTTAAAGGTAGCATTCAATATGATACTACTATGTTGATAATTTTCTACTCTCTCTCTCTCTCTTGGTAGTTACGGCATCAACTATAGCTCCATCACGTGTGCACTTTTACCTCGTATATGCAAAAAACCAATGTAGCACAAGCACTTCTTAAATGGAAGTAGGTCTGTGCAAGGTACCTTCTTGGATGCTACACTACCTTAGCACCCCTTAGAAGACAAATACATCTCATTAACAAGCAGCATTGTTTCGGGGAGAGAGACAAACACACATACACACACACAAAGAAGACTGGTAAACATAAACAATGATACAACAAGAATATGATAAAAAGATAATCAAATTTTATAATCGTCTCAAACAATATGACAATACATAAAAATATATATGTATGGAAATATAGTGCTCTCACATGAATTAGGGCCTTCGATCGTTGGATCGAGAGGTTGTGAGGGCGTCTTTGAAAAGCTGAGGGTGTGAACACAAGGTGAGGGTGCCCTCATGATAGACTTATTCAAAATATATTTATATATTGACGTGTCCTTGTGCCATCATAGATTTTTGGGATTTCTCAAATTAAATGTCCATTTCAATGTCCCAAGTCCATCGTTTGCACAATGTATGACAGTAGGAGACATTGCCAATATTCAAAATCTGTTGGTCAATTGGCACATTGTATGTTTATCTTTACTTAGAGTAAGAGAAATTGTGTGTTTATATTTACTTAAATGCTTGTACTTCTAAAAAAAATAAAAAATTTGGCACATTGTACTATGGCAATAGTGGAATATGATAATCATGCTTAAAGTAATTTTGATTTCGCATACATGGTGGCTGTTGTTCTCCTATATAAGGAAAAGCAGAAAAAACAAGATGACCAAAGGTATTAAATTGACAGGTAAGCACTTCATCAAGCTTCACTTATTTTTTTAATGGTGTGCTGGATGGGACAATTTTCTTCACAGCATTCCCCCGTAGGCGCCTAGAACTGAGTATAGAAGTATGGCATAGGAGCTTAGGAGAACTTTATTTTGCTGTTGCCTCAACTAGGGGTCCTTGAATACCTAATTTGACGAGCCTTCTGTTGTTAAATTCATAAATTAAGCTGAGAAAGAAAAGATCATTACAAAAGGAGGGGAAAGTACAGAGAATAAAGAAGTTGTGGTACTCATCCACTGAAGCTCTTATTGAAAATCAACCATTCCCACTAGTGGAGGATCCATCAACCAACTGAAAAAAGAAAATTCAACAAACACACGCTTTTATGGAAAAATCAATCATTCCCACACGTTGAGGATCCATAAACTAATTGAAAGTAGGAGTTAAAAAATAATAATAATAATAATAATAAATAAAATAAAATAAAAACTAATTGAAAGTAGAAAATTTTAACATAATACTATTTTGTTCTCTCTAATTGTCATAAAAAAAAAAAAAAAAAAAAAAATTAATATGGAAAATGGCTAAAACCCATGAACACCTAGAAGGAGTTGACCATATTAATTAAGTATTTAGGTACTTCGATATTCACAATAATTCAAACCTATAAATTATACGAGAAAAAATCATCAGCTTGTTCTTACAAATAATTCACGCGGATGTAATTGTTCACACAAAAGATGAGCTTATTATACGACGCAAACATATACATACCAGCAGTGAGGTTATCCCAGTCATCCACTTTGACCCATTCCTGTCTGGTTGAATTTATCTGCAAAAATGGAAGAGGTAAGCATCAAAGAATGAAAGGGGAAAATACAGACTGTAATCCACCAACATATTTAATCATCCCGTTTCACAAGATATTCATTGGTCAAAATAACACGTCTCAGGGAAGATGAAAGTATATTGCAGCTTTCGATGTATCCAAACATTTATTTCAAAATTGCTAATTATCAGAATACTAATTCTCTATTTCCATTCTTTCCTATTGTTGGAAGATAGTATGTTGGAGAATATCATTATAGCTGATAGAATATTGATGAGTGAATTATGAGAGTGATTTTTAGGAATCTTTCCTCTTATCATATTTATCACATGTTTGTATTCTTTCACCATTAATAGAAGTGATCATTGTATGCAAAAACTAAGAGAAAATATTATAAAAGTAATGTAACCCTTTGGACTCTTTGTGCCGTGAATGTATGACCTAGTGGTTGAACCACGTAATATCTTTATGTTGTTCTTGTTTCATTTCACTCTTCACTTATATTTTATTATTTAGAACATGTTATCAGAGCCTAATTTCTATCCTCTCTCTTGCTACGATTGCCTAGGTACATAAAAACCCTATGGCAGTCGCTTGGTATTCGCGACAGTGTAGGGAGGATCTCTTCCCAAGTTCAGACCCCTATTTTGGGGGTGTTCCCTTAGCGTCTAAAATGTGCTAAGGGTCTCTCAGCGCTATTTATGACTTATTTGGGTTGCGGGTGTGTTCGGTAGCATTGTTCTTCGCCTTCGTCGTAACTCCGGCAGTTTTTATTGTCATGTTGTTGGTCTGTGTTTGTGGTATTTTATCGTTGGTGACATCATCGTTGCCGTTATTATTGGTGCTAATTGTTGATCGCTCATGCAGTGGTCATTGTTCTCGTGTGTTGGCGATAGTCTCTATAGATCACCATTGTTGTTGGACTTTGTGGTGATCATTCGTGTGTTGATCGCTCATGCAATAATCATAGTAACCGTATATTGGCAGTCGTTGAGTCGCCGACTGTGTTGATAGTTGCTCATCGTCGAGTTACCAGATATTTTGCGGCTTGGATTTTGAATTGTGTTCTATCATTGTGCCTATGTGTTGGCTACATCATTAGAGAGGAATACACCTTGGACATTCTTGAAAAAAGATAAATTTCATGATTTGATATGCAAGCTGGGTGTAATTTCCATACACGCTCCAGCTTGAGGGGGAGTGTTGGAAGATGTTATGTTGGAGAATATGATTATAGGAGTAATTAAAGCCTTTTAAGTCACTCCTTGACAGAATATTGATATGAATAAATCATTGTGTTTCCAATATCATATTTATCACATGTGTGTGTTCTTTCAACTATAAATAGAGGTAATCATTGTTTGCAAAAACTAAGATCGAATATTATAAAAGTGATGTAGCCGTTTGGACTCCTTGTGCCGTGGATGGAGGCCCTAGTGGTTGAGCCACATAATATATGTGTCTTTTTTGTCAACAACTTTTTACGAAGACCGCTAACTGGAGGCCGTTGCTTGATGGGCTGGAATTCTTGGGAATCTCCATTAAGGATAGGGACTCGCTTGAGAGGCCGTTTGGGGAGGAGGAGATGTTAGAGGCTCTGAGGAGCTTTGATTGTGACAAAACTCCAGGCCCAGATGGTTTTTCTTTGCCTTTCTTTCAACATAATTGGGAGGTGGTGAGGCCTGAGGTGATGGGTACTTTGAGTTATTTTCATTTAGAAGGGCACTTTGAGAAGAGTCTCAGTGCATCCTTCATTAACCTTATTCCAAAGAAGGGTGGTGCAACCGTGCAGTGGAGGCTAAGGACTTTAGACCAACTAGTTTTGTGGAAGTTGTTTACAAGATTCTCGCTAAAGTTCTAGCAATCCGTTTAAGGAGAGTTCTAGAAGAGCTAATCTCGGAGTCCCAGAATGCTTTCATCTGTGGCCGTCAAATTTTGGATTTAGTCTTGGAAGCCAGAGCTAGAAGTGGTGTTCTGGGGATTATTTGCAAGTTGGACATCAAGAAGGCTTATTATCATGTTTACTGAAATTTCTTGCTAAATTTACTTGGGAAGATGGGGTTTGGTCCTAGATGGAGGAATTGGATATACCAATGCATCTCAACGGCGCAGTTTTCAGTCTTAGTTAATGGTTCCCCAGCTGGTTTCTTCGCTAGCTCTCGAGGTTTGCGCCAGGACGACCCTCTTTCTCAATTTTTGTCCATTATTGTTATGGAGGGTTTCAACAGATTGATGAGGAGAGCAGAAGAGTAGGGTTTTATTCTAAGTTTCGCGGGTTATCTCTCATTTTCTCTTTACGGATGACCATCTTGTTTTTGTGATACTAGGGTGGATCAGGTAAGGGTTTTAAGGTGTGTTCTGGCCTGTTTTCAAGATTTTTAAGTTGGTTCCAATTGGGGCAGTCAACAGGATTCAGGACTTACCAAATATTCTTGGGTGTGGTGTTGGTATGCTCCCGATATCTGATCTAGGTCTTCCCTTAGGGCAGTTTCAAGGAGGACTTCAGTTTAGGCCCCCATGGTTGAGCGATTTAAGAGACGACTTACTGGGTTGAAGAAGTAGTATCTTTCGAAATGGGGGAAGATTACCCTTATGAAGAGCGCTCTTTCAAATCTTCTTACCTATTTTATGTCTATCTTCCCGATGACAAACCCTTTGTTCGAAGATTAGATGAGATTTAGAGGAATTTCCTGTGGGGTGGCATTGGTGATGAGTTCAAATACCATTTGGTGAACTGGGAGAAGTGTGTTCCCCCATTCAAAAGGGGGTCTTGGGCATTCGGAAATTGGATTTGTTCAACAAGGTTTTGTTGGGTAAATGGTTATGGAGATTTGGGTGTGAGAAGCCCCAATTATGGAGGAGGGTCATTACTTGCCGGCATTGGAAGGGCGACGGTGGGTGGTTAACTAGGGAAGCGAGATTTCTAGCAAATATGGGCATTTGAAAGCTTATCCGGAAGGGGTGGGATGAGTTATCCAAACATATTCGGTTCAGAGTTTGGCGTGGGAATTCCATCAAGTTTTACGAGGATCTCTGGTGTGGGGACATTGCTCTGGCTCGTAGATTCTCTTAGTTGTTCAGGATTTCTTCAAGTAGACATGCTCTGGTTGCCAACTATTATTGGCTTGATAGCAGGAGGTTGACTTGGGATGACTTAGGATGTGCAGTTTCCTAGAGAGTTTCATGATTGGAAGCTTACGGAGGTTGCTGAGTTCTTAGCTTTGCTCTACACCCAAGTAGTGGAGGGAGTGGGGATGGACAAGAGTTTGTGGGTGGGTTCGCCGAGAGGGGTGTTTGAGGTTAGGGTTTTCTATCATAGTCTTGTGGAGATTCTAGGTCACTCTTTCCCATGGAAAGCGATTTGGAGGTCGAAAGCCCCCTTAAAGGTGGTGTTTTATGCATTGTGTGCCGCTCATGGAAACATTCTCACTCTCGACAATCTCAGGAAGAGAAGGCAGATCGTGGTTAATTGGTGTTGCATGTGCAAGAGGACAAAGGAAACTGTGAACCACCTTCTTCTTCACTGCTTAGTGGTGAGGTATATTTGGGCTATGTTTTTGCAAGAGGACAAAGGAAACTATGAAGCACCTTCTTCTTTACTGCTCAGTGGCGAGGGATATTTGGGCTATGTTTTTGGTTGTGTTTGGTATGTCTTGGGTGTTTCTAGGATCCACAGTGGATATGATTGAGGCTTGGAGAAGATGTCTAGTGGAGAGCTGAGCCAGCGATGTTTAAAGGGTCATTCCCCTTTGTCTATGGCGGAGTTTGTGCTGTAAGAGGAATAAGAGACCCTTTGAAGGAGAGGAGACTCCTATTTGGACTCTCAAATAGTATTCTTCATTCTTTATTCTTTGGGGTTGGCGTGATAAGTGCTGAAATATGCATTATTCAGCCCTTAATCTTCATTAGCTAGCAATTTATTTTGTCTTTTCTTCTCTTTTTTAATATTGATTTGTTTCATTCTATATTTTTAAATGCTTGAAATCCAACGAGGATAATTCCAATGCCTTAAGGGTTTATAAATGTCAAGCCTTGGGAGAACAAGCAAGAGAAGCACAAAATTCAAAATTCAGAGACAGCCCGATCAATCGGATTATCTGTTCAGAATCTGATCGGACGGACTCAAGGTCCAATTGATCGGATACGGCCTGGCAGTTGCGGAAATCAGATTCTTAGCCTTGATTCAAGGGGGCTCGATGTGCAATCGAGGAGGCGTCCTTGTGTACGGGGTCTGACCATTTTGGGAGCCTTAAGAGTCACCTATAAATACAAGATTAAGTCCAATTTGCAAAGGGTTGGTTGATTGGAAGAGTGGAATCTTGATAATTCAATTTGGAGATTTTTCTAGATCTACAATTTGGGGATTCTCTCTCTACACTCTCTCTCTAGGGTTTCTTTCAAGAAGAAGAAGAAGAGGATGAAGGTAAGCATGGAGATGGATTGTGAGACCACTAAGATGACATCTACCACCTCCATGAGTGGCTAGTTCTTCACTTAGGGATTAGATGAGCCCTAAGTTTGTGTAATTAAACCCTTTGCTTTTCAATTTTGAGGATTATAAATTGTATCTATTTTGCTTGGCCTTGTGAATTAAAACCTGGTTGTACCATGATTTGTATTGATAATTCATTCAATTAATCTTCTACTTGGCTATATGTTCTCTTATATGTGGTTGATTGTTGATTAATCTCTACATTAGGCACTTTTTGTAATTGTGCTTAGTGATGGCCATGCATGATTTTTATTGGATACAATTGCTCTTAATTTGATGGATTATGCTTAGTCTTGATGGGTTGTTCTACACCTTAAGTAATTGTAGTTAGGTAGACAATTAATGCTTGAATTTGATGATTCATGCTTATTCATTGCAATTGTTATATTCTTTTGCTTATCGATGTGAGCTTGCAGCCACATTCCTATTACAATTTGTTTTCCCCATTAATTAAAGGCATTTGGTGTAATTGCATGAGCTTAGTGGTGCACTCCATGCCTTAAGCCCTTCT